ATATGTAGGTAATTACTAGTAAACAACCAACAGTTACATAACAGCAATATTATAATTTCTCATTTAACTATATAAATGTGATATAACAGATGTTGTACATAATAATTACATTGTTGAGTAGGAAATTGTAATATTAATATGTTATGTAACTGTTGGTGTTTACTGGGTAAACTGATACTTTTAATTCCGTTTCCTACATTATCGTTCAGCCCATGTCATTACATGCATCGGAAATACAACAAATGTTCGCTATATCATAAAGACATACACGAGAAAGAATCGTTCTGCGATACAGAGGCTACATCAATAATAAATTAATACTTAAGAAATATATTAATTAAAAATTAATTAATTCTTAAAGTGCATTGGTCAACATTTTCCAATATAATTGTAATATAAAATAAATGCTAATGTAACGCCAATGTTACGTGTTAGTCTTCCTTCGTCGAGCCAGATTGGACCTACCATCCGTCGCTCCTGGCCATACAGTCTGGTCATTTTTACCAGAGATCAGAAAGGAAGGAAACTCTTTCCATAGTCTGTTTATTATCGTCACCGACAGATATTTCGTACGGTTCGTACTATTTGTATATGCGAGCGTCGAGATCGTATCGAAATGCACGACGACGAGAAGTTAATTAAAGAAGAAAATTAATAAAAATATTGTGCTGTATAAAACTAATCGAATATAGTTTTACTTTTGTTATTGATTCGAGAATAGATAATGACTGTCTCTTTATGACTCAATCTTTAAATTCGAAATTCAAGTATATATGTATTGTATATGTAGAAAGTCGAATGAATTAGTTATGCCCGCGCCGCTCCACATATCGTATTAGTCTTTCAATTTTAATACGCGTTTGCAACAAGTACGGAAAGAAACCGTGATCGCTATATCCCTGCGAATAATTAGTGATCGATATCATCGCGCGATCGCTGAATCCCCGCGATTTGTCATCGATGCTCGGTTATCCGGTAAGATAGATATTTAGCGCGATTCACGCGAGATCTATACATCTATACATCCAAGAATCAAAGCGCTAGCTAACTTGAAATTACTTCTTTATTGTGATAATTACAGACGACAATGGCTTCTTTAATCGATGCTCGTATTCGGACACATCGTCGCATTGAATATCTCGTCGCTTCGAGTATAATTTGTTAGCTGTTTCTACATCGAAAGCGCGAAATAATACACGAAATATTGAATCGAGTACTTTAACTAGCATTTATCGGTGATTTATTAACACTCCTAGTTTATATATTTTTTACGGAACTAGAGATGATGTCAAAACGCGCGCTTCGCGCGCGCAGTTTGTGGTTGAACATTGTATATTTTTAAGAATTTCTATACACGAAAAGAAGTAATTGTATGCGCAACGTCAATTTAAAATAAAAAGTAATTTATTACTCACTGATACGATTCGCAACAGCAGAGTTGTACATCAACTATACATATGTTAAACTGCAAACATACAAATATGTATATGATTATTATAGGCGAATTGTGTAAAATCAAAATTATTGTACTAAATGTACTTCATATTTTATATTTGAAAAAATAGGTATTTATAAAAATAATTATATATAGTATACTGAAAATGTCTTTCTTTTAAATATAAACTCACAAAATTTTATACGTATTGTTTTGTCTCTCACACTTATTCGAATCTTCGTATAAATCATTTGAAGAAATAAAATAAAAGCACAGAACAGCTGCTTTATTTTGCACAAGTAACAAATAACACCGAAATGTAAGACACTTACCTCACCATTTCTCCGCCGTTGCCCGATGCCTCCTCGGCCTCTTCCTCCTCTCAGATTTTCTTGTTGCACTAACACAACACTCACTCGCGAAAATCATCGCACGAAATTTCGGACACTCCCGTACGCGATGTGAAATACCGCGAAACGCACGAAATAGTATTAACAAATATCGCGTGACTTTTTGTCATACAAATTACTCAAACTAACAATTTGCATTTTTGATTCGGAAGAATAGGATAATGGATAAAACACTTTTGAATTGGCGATATAAAACGCAACGCGAGCGCCGGAGGCATAATCTGCGGTAAAGTAGTTATTAGTCCGTAACGAAACGATATTTTACAATCTTTGTCATTCAATAATTGCAACAGTTAATCGAGATCATTTACATAATGTAACGACGTGCAATAAACGATTTTCTATACTTCCTGCCCATTCGAGTTGTGAAGAATGACAAAATGAGTTACAGCGCGAACGCCGAAGTCGTAAATTTTTCTCTTTTCCCGAAAATTGAACAAATTACACGAAATCGATAGACAATTAAAAGTGCGGTGCGTAAACGAGATGTAACTCCGCGACAATGTACCACGGTTTACATTCACATTTTAGATGAGTTAGTCTCGCGAAATATCTATGTACATATACGTTGATAAAGAGCCGTCGCCTCAACACGCAATTAGTTTCTCATTACAAGTTGTAGAAACTTAATAATTAATCAAAGAACGTTACTTGTTACTGATAGAGGTGTACAAATCAATAGCGTTTTATCCATATATCCATCGCGATCGAGTCTTGGAAACCGATAACGCAAAATTAATACCACGGCACGGAGCGACTCTCGCCACTGCTTGCCGGCACGACGTTCGGCGAGCGAATGCTAGCGCGGCGACCTTCCGGCACACGATGGCACGCAAAAACATCGTACGTCACCGCGCCGAGTGAAAAACAACAAAAAAACGTTGAGAATTCGTTGGCCTACCTACGCAATGGAAAATTCCGTACTTAATATTTTATTGTACATTAATTTGTTCCGTGACTGTTGCTACGTTTTGCGTATTATTCCACGGACTTATTGGTATTGATTAAATTAACGATTAATTCTGTTCAATCGAGACTATGTTTCGAAACAAAAATCGTTGTTACTTAAATTGTTATTACCAAGATTAGTGATTTCGTTTTTTCGGAAGCATACAAATCCTGGTCAGATAGCAGAACTTTGAGTCAAACATCGCGATACTCTTAATTGAAGAATTCTCAACGTTCGTCTTTGTTTTACTTTACACGCGGTATACTCGTGCGACGTTACGCAGGGGACTGTTTACTTGAAGGTCGCCGCGGCATCATTCGCTCGCCGAACCTCGAGCCGGCAGGCAGCGTCGAGAGTCGCTCCGTGCGTCGTATTACTTTTACGTTATCAAATTCCGAAACGCGATCGCGATGAGTATGGGAATAAAACTCTATTAATTTGTACATCTTTGTCGGTAACAAGTAACGTTCATCGATTAATTATCAACTTTCTACAACTTGTAATGATAAACGAATTGCACGTTGAGGTGACCACGAGACTAACTTATCTAATAAAATCCGAATGTAAATCTTGATATTAATCGTGATTTCATCTCGCGCTTTGAATTATCTGTCGATTTCATTGTAATCTGTCTTTCAATTTCGAGAAACGATAGAAAAATTTGCTGGTGTACGTGTATTTGCGTTGTTTGCTATCTTTCATTCTGTTATACTTTGTAGCTCGAACAGACAGGAAGTAGAGAAAGTCGCTACGTTATATCTCGAAACGTAAGCAAAAATTATCTTAATTTCGCGTAAGGATTAGATTGTTTGACAATTCGGATTGTAAAATATCGTTTTTCTTTACACGCGTAACTTAAACACGTATTTCGTCGCGGATTAATAACTACTTCTTTACCGCAGATGCTTTGATTGCGACATTCGCATCGCATTTAATTTCGTAACTTTAAAAGTAATTTATTCATTGCTACTTTTGAATCGAGAACACAAAATAACACGCGAATTGCCGATTTGAAGGATTTGCGTGACGGAAAGTAATACGCGGTATTCACGTCGCGTACGGGAGTGTCACGCAAAATTTCGCGCGATCGTAGTTAATCATTCTCGCGAGTGAATATTGTGTGAGTGCAACAAGGCGATCTGAGAGGAGGAGCAGGCCTTGGAGGCATCGGGCAACGGCGGAGCAACCATGAGGTGAGTGTTTTATTTTATATATATTTTTGCTACTTTTTTTGCGAAATGAATATGTACTCTCTGTTCGTTTATTTATTCAAATGATTTGAATATGAGATACACACAAAAATATACGTTGCAATCTTGCGAGTTTATATTTAAAAGAAAGAGATTTCTTTCGAGTACTTTATAATCATTTTATTAAACATCTATTTAAACAATGTATAAAATATATTTAATGTCGGTTTTAAATAATTATTTTATAATAATCGTATATCGTATATTTGTATTTTACAGTTTAACGTAGTTTACGACGTAGATAAACTCCGCTGTTGCGCATCGTATCGGTAAGTGATAAACATTTTATTTAAAAAATTTATATAGGAAATCTATTGTGCGTAAAAATTGCGTAAGATCTACATTATGCAGTAAAAAGTATTTATGTATATCGAATGTATTGTTGTGATATAAAAACAAATTTTGTAAAAATAAAATAGAAAACGTAATAATATTTAGTAACAGTTGATAGAGAGTGAGAGAATGACAGAAAGAGACGCGTGTAGCGTACGCAATGCTATGTTTTAGTATAAAATAAAATAATAACCGACTATTGGTGAGGATGGCAATGATAAAATCAGTGCATACGCATTGTGGACGAATTGGACTCTCTACCTTTCTCTCTCGTACAAATGTTGGACACAAGCTCGTTTCATACGAAATACAGGCCATTTCCCTTCCTGTATATGTGTTTTAAGGTGTTCTAAATCTAATTTTCTAAAAAGAAATTCTAAAAAATATGTTCTGAAAATCAGCGACCCGAATATCATGAACGTATTGAATATTGAATCTTCTTTATAGCAAAATAAAATTAGTCGCTTGGAGCCATCATACTGGATCCGTTATTAGAAATTTCATGAATTTGGCTCTGGAGTCAGTGACCCGAAAAACATGGGTACATGTATGAAGTTTCATTCAAATTCGTTGAAAACTTTGTTCGCTGTACTCTTGTGTCTTCTCCGACATGAGCAATAAACTTGCCGTCTTCAAAAAATTTTATTAAATTATATTGGATAGCACGTAAGTTTCTTCCAGCCAAATAAGGCCAGATAAATATTTCCCTGTTGAAACGAGTTATTGTTAAAAGTTTCACATTCAGTTTCTTTATGATGCATCACCGGGAATACAGTGTATTGTCGAATGTGCCAATAAGATATATACATATTTGGTTAATAGAAATAATATTTATGATAAAATTGCAATATCAATTATTTTATCATTTAAGATCTATGTACACGCTCCATTTGCTGAGTATAACAATATTGCATACAGTATTACACATATTATAATATAAAATACACATATATAATATAAAAGATATTCCCAAATTTCTATTATCGCAAATTATGTATAAGTTATATTACAAAAGTATTGTTGAGTATGTGGTCACTTAACATGATGTAATTAACATGATTAGTTACTTGTTTGTAATAAATACAATTATAGATCTCTCTCTCCATAAGTAGCACTTACTCAGCCTTACAGTTTTCGGTTTCAAGTTTCGAAATGCGGTATTCAGTAGTTCTCTCCAAAGGATAAAAACAATCGAAACTATGCACAGCCTTAAGACACTTGTGAGTACCGCGTTGTGGAATTAATGATGACGCGATGACGGAAACATATGTGCCAAGAAATATTCACAGCGACGTTTCGTAAGGCAACGCTGGCATATTAACATCGCCACGTCTTATATAGACTGAGTTGTGTGAATATATTTTGCATTGCATATTTTCGAAAGTTGTCCAAACGTAGATCAACGTCGAAGCTCCACGTGGATCATTTAGAATTCGTCTTAGTATTAAGTCTTGACATGAAGTCGGTCGCTTGATTGTCTCCTTTCCGATGCTCTAATGCGCGAATGACGTCCGTATCTTTAAATTAATATGAATTTATGTTTAATATGGCATTTATGCAGAAATAATCTGTACAATACACGTATGGCTACACTTATAGCAATATTTGAAAAATATATGCTCTATACATATATTAACATTTCTTATATACAATATTTCTTCAAATTAAAATCAAAGCTTCCTCTATGAGGAAGCAAAAGTTATTACATACTTTTCTTGGTTGGACGAGAAAGTTTCAAATGTATTTGTTGTAGAATTGCGAAGCTAGTTTCTGGTTCGGTGTCAGGAATCTCATTAAATGGTAAAAAGGCTTCAGCCATAAATCTTGATCTAAGAAAATCCTTGTCTTTTAGTTCAAATGCCACTATAGCATTCTCTATGGCTCTTTGTCCCGGAGTGAGAGGACTGTAAATGTTGAAATTATTTCATAAGTATTCTATTCTAATCTATTTACTTTACATATTAAAAAAATTATTTAATGATAATATATGTATAATTAAATACATTACTAACATGTTAAATGTTTCATCGAAAAGGGGAAAGACCGTTTCTTTCTGCACATGCGTCTTCGGTGCTTTAATTTCGGCAAATTTCTCTTCAGGCAGTAATCTGATTTTCACGTAGGAATCGCATTTACCTGTAATGAAAATAGAAAAATCATATTTCATGTAACACAATTTAACATTTAAAGAAACCCACTGTGAAACTATTCATGCAAGGTGAAAATGATTATCGATGCTGACGCCATATATTTTTATCTGTGAGGTTTATTGGCATTAATTTAGTTACGTTATAGCAATTAATTTCAATATGTAAAATATATTTCTTTGATAATAATAATAACGATTTTAGAGAACCTCATAGATAGAAGAGTACAAATAATGGACGTAAACAATATTCCGTGACAATTTTTTATCTTTTTGAGTCAGGAAGACCATTGTATACATTAAAGACTATTTTTCTACTTTTATAAAATGTCAATACAATTCGTGCCATGCATTCCCAAAATGCTTTTTCCGCGAGAGCAAGCAATTTGATAGAGAACCGTATAACAATTGATGAGGAATAACTCCACTTTATATTCGCTTTTACATACTTGTCTTCCCATCTTTGACTCTTTGTTTAGATTTTGAATGCAGTTTACGCTCAAGAGTAGACAGCTTGCTTATAAAATGGCCTACAAAATCGAAAAACATTGTCATTCCTCCTTTCAAATGCCGCGATTTTCTCCAGCGATTGGACATATCAGTCATAAAAGTCCTATCATAATTTTCGTAAAAGAAGAACATAAAACTTTAAGAATAAAATAATTATTGTGGTTAGTAAGCTTGAAATGTTTTGTACCGCTTAATTTATTTGTATCAACAGACTTTCCTCGTATTAGATTAATATCATCTTTTAATGACTGCAAAATTTCACTTTGTGTTTATTCCAAGTATTTATCAGGCTTCGTCTAATTACATTTGTACTGTTATCGTAAATCTTGCTTTTATATTATTGCTTAAAAATTGTGTTAACTTTTTATATTTTTCTTTATAAATTTCACTTTGCTCACCATTGCTATCCATGCAACGGAGATTTCTGGCATTCAAAATCTGTATGTTCAATGAATTATCAACGAAGTATGCCTTGACGCTGACAAGACCGTAAATGGGATCTTCCATTGTTTTCTGTTCTTCTATCCGTTCGAGATGAAAACGATGTATGAGCTCGGCAGTCTCAAGTCCATGTAACTTTAAAAGACGTTCGATTTTCTCTAAAACTTGGACGTTTGCCGCTTCATCGGCACCAAAATTGAAGAATCGAATGAGCGTGTGAAGAGTTCTATGCAAGTTCGAGTAAAATGCAGGCGGTCGTCGTTTCTGCAAAGCAACAGCGTTACTTTATGGAAAACTGAAGTTGTTTATGATAAAAAAATATGTTTGCGCTCTTCTATTATTTACCTCTAAATTGGTGTTGACTAGCTCGTACAATGTTTGTGACATAACTTCCCAAATTACTAAGAGAACTCTCTTGAAGTTGTCCTCGTAGAGATTATCATGCAAAGTTGCCAGATTACTGTCTAAATACTGCAATAGACGATCCATCGCGTTGCTGGTCGTGTCAATTAATTCGGCACCCTCCATGAGGTATCTGAAAGCACAAATAAGGTTACATTAAAACGTTAAAGTAAAGAAAATTGGTTACATATATTTGTCATAAATCGTATCATAAGTGGTTACAAATGATGTCAGCTTAATTAACAGAAAATGACACATTTTCAGTTGTATTCACGCACCTGTTCATTGCAGGAGCCATTTTATTGGATACAATTTCCAACAACTCTATGATTTTGTTCTTCACAGTATCTGTGGCGTTGTCAATGATAAGCTGAAGAGTTTGCCGACAACGATCAGCCTCCTCATGAGTCTTGTGCTCTCCTAAAGCATCCACGATGTTCTGTAATCCCAAGTCCTTAGCCAGCGGTGCGATCGCTGTTCTGATATAATCGATATTATTAATAGCAAAGCACCAGGCCGTCGATATTGTAAACCTTTTTTCATAGACACTACTCTGCGAGAGTTGTTCTAATTCTGTTGTCAACTCCGCTTTTGCTGCCATTTTATCGGCGTATGCCATGGAACATTTACAAATGTCCTGCGAAGCAATAGTTTTATTATAAATCGTTTAAAGTTATCCTTATTAATGACAATACGTATTAAAAGTTAATTATAACTTAAATAGACGTTACGTGCATTTCAGAATATAAAATTCTCAAACTTACGTCAATTATTCTTGCTAAGAACGTATAGGAACCTTCAACGTCGGGCCACGCTAGCTGCGTCCAAAAAACTTGAATTTGATAGAATGTTGTTACTGTATCTACAGCGCTTGAGCTATACTGAACGCTTTGGTCGACTGCCTGCAAAGTGTCAAGTTCAATTGCTCTGTCGATGCGTTTAAGTGCTTTATACACTGCTATTTCCAGCCAATGCGCGACGCCACATCTAAACCAATCGTAATAATTCTGTATCTTCATATCCTCCAACTGTCCTTCGGCACAAAGCACCTGACCAAGTCTGTAAAATCGGATATGTTAAAGTAAGCGAAATGTTTCAGTTATTACGGACATTTTGCAAAATTAAACTCACGTGGCGTATCTTTGAAGTGTAAGGTAAAGCTCGAATAGAGTCGTGCCTAGACTCAATTCCACGTTGTCGGTGCTATCAACTTCAATTCGTTTCAATCTGGCACACACGTCCTCTATAATGATCATGCACATATCACTGATTCTTTTTTCATACGCAATATACATCATTCTTGCATACGGAACATTGACTCTCCTGAAATTTGCGATTAACGTTTGATATTGTGTCTACGTATTATTAAATACACATAAATATACTCTTCGCATCTTATAAGATCGACTTACTTTATGAATAATTTGTCGTAATAATCAATAGCTCTCTGTAAATCTGCTCTAATTAGTTGAATTACTTTAATATGATACCTAAGCGCGTCTTCATCCGATTCAGTATCGGGCGAATTATTGCTTAATATGTGTTCAAACCTGGAACATATTAAAATATGTGTTAGGATAGCTACAACAGAATGAAATATACTTACATTTATGCGTTTTGCTTTGCTTACCATTCGGCGCATCCTTGTGTAATAGTGTATTCCAAACCTTGGAGTATGTCTACCTTTAAGTCATCAGGTTCAGGAAACCAGAAATACAATTTAGCGGGAAAGAGGTTAATATCTTCAGGAATTTTTAGACTGGATATAGCTGATAATATCCTAAAATTATTGAAATTTACGTAAGAATTCTATTACAACAATCTAAAGCATTTTACTTTCTATATTAAATATTCCTAAATATTTAATGTTATTTAATAATATTTAATATAAAAATTATCAGTATTAATATTATCACATATTGTAAAGTTAATAAAATCGCAATAGTATGAGCATAATTACCCTAAAATGGAAGATAATTGTACCATGGTATTTTTATCTCCCAAAATCAATTTTCTTATTTTTCGTATGCTGTTTAAGCATGAAAATACAATTTTCTTGGTAGCTTTCCAGAAAAGTTTAGTTTCGTCAACGGAGAACAGGCCATTGTCCATTGGTCTGAGCAAATCGATTATGAGTTTATTAAAGACGGTGAAGCTTAATGGGTGTTCCTGATGAATGTTCGCGTATTCGATCCATTGTGCCAGGGCGACATTTCTGGCTAATAAACCACGTTGCGCGCTATGTTGAAGAATAATTGCGTCGGCTGGTCCTGACCAACGACCACACCAACAATACTTTTCGATTTTCTGCGTTTCAATCTCGTGAAGAAGCAACACTCTTAGCAGATGCCGATGCTCTTGTGCGGCTACTTGTGCATTATGTTCAGCGCTAAACGCCAGTCGGAGCTTGACAACACCGCGGCGTTTAGATTTGTTTTTCTTGTCCAGAGAATACCACATTGTATGGCCTGTTGTGGGTATATCCTAAAAGTGCGAGTAAAAAGTATATATTTAATATTGCAAACGTATAAATACAATGCAATGCACTTTTAAAAATGAAATATATGTACAAAAATATATTTTAGATTCTTCAAATTCATATTACCTTCAAAGGTATTCGACATCGACCAATGAATTCATTATTGTGACTACCAGTTGTAGCCGTTACTGCAATTTCTTTGGCCAACTTAACTAATCCACGAACTCCTTTGACATCTTTAACTTTACTCATTTTTTCAGGCACAGTTTCGGCAGCATCGAAATCCCTAAAAGTTACATGAGATAAGAATAATTAATAATCAATAGTTAATAATAATTATTACAGCGTAGTATATACAACTTACCATACTTCAAGGTACAAGATATCATTCTCAGGATCTGCCAGTGGTCTAAATAATAACAGATATAATAATAAATGACTATCTGATAGACTAGCTTTTTAATTATTATATAAAGTAAAACTTAAATCTCTTTCTTATTTCTCTAATGTTCAAATAATTTTTAATGAAGAACGAAATAAATTAATGAGATATTAAAATACTTAATGTATTAATGAAGTGCAATATATTCGAACGGTAACTCTTTTAAAAGCAGGAAAAAATTTTTACTCACAATTCAAAGTGTTCTTCCCAGACTGGACTTAGTGTACAAGGTTTCACGGCAGTATTATATCTTCTGGTAGGTGTTGATTCGAGATAAAGAGCGCAGAAAGGGTCACTTTTACCATTAGAATCTTTGGAGACTAGTTCCTTGGCTTCAATTACTTCGATGTTAAGATGTAGTTCCGGTGGCTAAACATGAAAAATTTTAATTACATTTTGTATATAATATTGTGCGTGTACGATGAAATTGCGATGTTATCATTTGATATTTTACATAAAATAATTATAAAAATACATTACCTCAAGATTTCGCGTTTGTTCCAACACTTTCTCGTGTGCTATGTTATCAATTTTAAAGGCACTTTGTAAGTGGTTTATAAGACTTTCTTGGGAACATTCTTTAGAGACGTCGAAGCCAATTTGATGTTGTGTCATATACACCAACGCTGTATAAAGCTCTTCGATCTGAAAACAATACATTACAAAGAACATTAATTATAAACCCTTCAAGAAATATGTATACATGTACAGTGACTTACAAAACTTATTAAATCGTACGATTGCTCCATATTTATTTCAAAAATTCGTAAACGAAAATATCTGTTTAGAAATCAAGAAATGTTTGTTTAAATGTTGTATTGCTATTGAAAAGCCGTTTTCGTGCGTTGATTGCCATTTTCGAATCAGTAAGTCAGTAGATAATACTACAATTTTAACATAGGTCCTTTAAGATATAAAATCAATTAGAAATTAAAGAGGCCGTTTAGGACCGGGCATAGGTGTAAGTAGCCAGTTAATAGCCAGTTAAATCAGTAGATAATTGTTGTGTAATACATTTCATTAGTTTTATAAATCACTGTTGTAATGTATAATCGTATAATTTTGTCAATGACATTAGCTTTGACTGCACTTTTGGAGCTACGCTGATCATTAGATTTGAATACAAAATATCTGCAATCAAAGTATCTGTGTACGTTCCATCCCAGTAATAATAAATAGCATTTTTAACACTTTTAAAAATATTGTTATAGCCAGACAAGAATACATAGAAATTGTCGTATTTATCACACATATAATACTGTATATATACAGTACAAAGTGCAATTTTTCTAATTTCTAAACTAAACAAATATTAATATTTAAATATAAAATTGCACAAGGTACATTTTAATATTTTTGCAGAATAACAGAGTTAAAACATTTTAGAATAATGAAAGCGTATAAATAAAATAAATCAGTGAAAAATTAATAAAATTTTCAATGAAAATACTAATACGTGTTTTTTCTGAATCAATAGTTGTACGAATTTTCCCCATCATTAATCACAACTGTCTGGTATGATCAGACTCACCGTCATGGATTGCAAAAGCGCATTAGTCCTACGTTCAATTTCAGCTTTCGGCACTCCGCAAAATGTGTTTCTCATACTATTCAGGGTGGTCGCTCCTATGGGGGGATTTGTGCTCACCATAATGAATCTCATGAAATTATTTACTTCTCAACTTTTCAAACATTTACAAAAATCACAGGGACTGTCACACAGAATCACACATTCTGCACTTCTCACGCAGTTCTTCCGTGATTCGCACTATTTGTGTCCAACGCGATCATTATTGAATGCACGGCCGAACCATAATTCTTTTGCTCAAGTGACACGCCGACAATTTTCTTAGACGATTCTCGAACAGCTGTGACGACGATAACGGACAGTAGATCTAGCGAAAAGAAATCTAGAACGGCACGACAATGACCCGTGGAGATGCAAGACAGAAGATCATGTTGTTCGGTAAGAACAATGACGTTCATGCACCAGCGGTCCTGGCTTCAATTAGACGTCGAACCTGCTCACACGAACACATTTGGACCGCGTGAGGACAAAGAATTCTGCGCACTGACCCCTGACGCACACTTTACATTCGATGGGGAGCAATAAAAAATTATTGCTTTAACCAAAGATAATTTTCTGAAAGTATTTTATGCGCTACCGACGACAGAGAGAAGATGCCGATTTATCGCGTGCGCGATCGGCGAATCTTGTTGCGTTATATTAAACTCATTTGGTCGGAGCCAAAGATGAACTTCCACAATGGCCACGACCTTTCTTATCGACAATACGCCGAGTCGTCGCATATTCAATCGCTCGCATGCATAATCAACGATTGCCATCAACCGTAGCACGCATAATTTGTGATGTTATGGAATTAGTCGATATCACTGACGGTCTATGATATAACCATGAACGAGTTCAACTGAGAGTGAGAGATAAGCTTCGGATAAGATTGTTCCTACTGAAGTTCTCACATCTTGTACTTTTATTTGTGTATTATGCGATTGTTATGTTTCACCACGTTGAGAGTAAATTATTTTTCTAGCACGTGAAATATGAAAAAGTGAAATCTTCTTGAAAACAATTTTTAGGTTTTCATAGATAATTAAACATGTATTGTGTCGACTCATCAGCATAAAAACATGTCATTAATATATGCCGTATATATTTTTTAAGGAAACAGATAAATTTAGGCCACGCTTATGTCAAACTTTGGATTATTAGTAGTACATAAATATTGAAGGTTATTGCATCAGGATGTGTTTTACTAACAAGTTACAAAAAATAGGAAAATTACAAGTTTTAGCGTTATGTAATATTATTCAGTATATTCTATCCATCGGTACATCTTACGTTAATTATGATTTCTTAGCATTTTTCAATGTTCTTCTTCTAGCAGATAAATGATAAGTAATGCGGTAACATGCGTGCTTAAAATAGTTTCCTACCGATTTCAAAGAGATATTTTCTAACTAAACTATCCACATAGACTTGCTACCACACACTTTTTGGAATAGTTAATATTATTATGAACGTTTAAAAAACTTAATTTTATTACAGTTTGTAAGTCTTACAAATAATTACATTAGAAATAAAATTAAACACTGTCAAACAAACAACATATAAATTTCTTATATAGCTTGGCACATATGTTATATATTTTTTAGATTATTGTAACAGGGACATTCATGAGCCTGCTATTTTAATAAGTTGTTAAAATTTTTAAACAATAATTTTTTATGCTTTACATATTCTGCTGTCCTGTTATCTTGATTGGGATAATTATCCATTTGTTTTAATTTCTAGTAATGATCGTGAAATCAAGAATTCTATATATGAGACCAGAATTGGAGCATAGCCTTCAATATCAATGTCCACTGGCAAATATAGTTGCCAAGAGCAATTGACTCTGACAGTGAGATTAACTTTGCATTGTGTTTTATGATTTGTGATACTAATAAAACAAAATCTGTTACAATCGTAAATATTTAATGTGCATTAAACATTTATCGTTAATTTTTTATTACGTCGTCACATTCCTCCGAGCTAATATCTTTTAACTGTATGTTACAAAACGAACGACCGCTCTTTTTTTCTCAAGAATGATTATTGTGGTTGCGTGTGTTAATCAGCATGAAAACAATCGGCGAATCTGGACATAAAAGAACTGTGTCGTATCCCGTTTAAAGTGACCCACAGGACAAGTGCAAACACAATGCGTTCATACGTTCGCACAATTGCGTCCAATGAAAGCTGATATACCAACAATTAGTTCATTGGCCATCAAGGCACACCATCGAGGCACCCGTTGTATGATAAATGGCATGTGTGAATGTATGAAGATACTTTCGTCTTTTATATTCCGTCCTCGTTTAATTTTCGTAGAATTATGCAATTTTGAGGCGGTCCAACTCCTTACGCCCACGTCAATGCGGATTCTATTTTTTGTCGAGGATGAGTCCGTTTAAGATGTCAGTTATTTTGTGTCATGTGATGTTATAATGGTCACAATTATTATTTGCAATACTAATTCGATAATTTGTAACGTATTTTGTTTTCGTATTATGTTAACTATATTATTGCAGCTTTTAATGAACAATTCAAGTTCAAGTTAAAAATTGAGATTTTTTTTTACAGAAATATTGTAACCAAATAACAACAAGAAGCACTGATTTAAGTTTAAGGAGATTTGGTGTTAAAAAAAGAAGAAAATTATTGACAGACACGACGGTACGTTTCGTTTCATTTTTAAACTGTTTCTGACAATTTGCCAATTTTTCAAGTGGCTGTCGAACAGAAGAAGAAAGCATTTTAACCTCGTTTTCCGAGTAATGATTTATTTTTACGACTTAGCAAATTCTTAATACTGAAGTGCTGCAGTTTGTAGCTGCATTATTGAATAAGTTATAAGAAATTGTGCTCATAATATCTTTACCGCATTTTGTAACATTAATTGACTTTTATTAATTATGTTTCATTATTTAAGTTACTCTCCGATTTTTATTAAAGTCTCAATTTCCTGTTACAGTTTAAGTTTTATTTTAAATAGATACGCGCGCGATTACTCATATTTGAACATCATCGGTAACTTATTGTTACATTATAAATTAGCCTGTATTGTAAGAAAAACAATTACAAATTTCAACAATAAAATATATGCAATTGTCCTGATGAAACATATTTACTTTTCTAAAGGTGCACATTATCCACAACACATAGCAAGTCGAACTTTATATCACTCATTCAGTTTTAGAGTACACATTTCTTGGGTAACTCACCAAAGATTTCAGATAATACAATAACTTAAAACGGATTAATTTAAGGAAAATTTGTTAATTTCTTAGTTAAGTTATCACTCATTAATTGTACGTAAAGATACACGAATAATTTCACCGCGTATCCTTCTTCTAGTATCTCCTGACGTAAATATATTTTAAAGGTTAATAATAAAAATAATTAATTAATTAAACGATAACAATTAGCGATGAATCTAGAGAAGGTGGTCAGGATAATCAACGTGAGAAGACGAGACAGGAACTTGACGGAGGCGAGCACCACACTGCCAGGAATAGCTGGACCCAACAGATCAGAATCGTCGTACGTCGCCGACTTGGTATTAGTGCATTTGCTAACGCACGAACACGTGGGTCTCATTTCAGATTGAGTTTAACTGCTCGATTAAGCGTAAGGCACAACCCCCTAGTGTAAGAAGGGTGTACAAACAGGCATTATTATATCGAGATAATTGCGATCGATTTTGTATCAAAGTTGACTTTCAGAATAAGCGATTATTTCCTGAATCAAGAAAAATTCATCGTAGCATTTTACTGCGCATGACATCATGGAAATTAAAATATGAAAGGACACATTCACTCCGTTAATGAATTTCTTGATCAAATTATTTGCAATTACGTATACAAATGATAAGATTTTTTTGCAAATTGAATATTAATTGTATGTGCATATCAATATTTTTAAATGTAATATGGATCATAGCACAAATGACAATAGTGTGCTAATAAAATAATTTACATGTCAGACTTACGCCTTTCGTTTTCTTTCCGTCCATTTTAGGAAACAGTGGTTCGTTGAATTCAGTCAAGTGCATTATTTTAAAACACACTGATTTAAAGGTAAAATTGAACGAAGAAAATCGTGACAATGTTTTGCATGGCAACGCAAGGGAGCGTCTAACTTCGACTACCTTCCCTACCAGACTGAGACCTTTGGAAAAATCAATATTGTTACCGCTCGTTCAATCACGCGGCAGGACATGCGGCAATATACAGAAAATATGAAGTTTCGATCCTACGAATAGGAACATGAATCATGGACGTCTGTTATAAATACGAAGAAATTAACTGTGTTATGCAGTTAACTATTGAGAGAATAATCACATCTAACAGGTATATAAAACAGCTGCATCATGCATATTAATGAAGTTGACGATAAAATAACGGAAACTATTATCCATAAATTTATAAGCGTTCTGAATCAATCAAATGTTAATGTTTAAATTGCTCCAATATGTTATTCTTAATCAATCTTTTCCATTTATTTTATATAATAAGTAGTCTCTGCAAAGTTTTTTTCAGTCGTTTGTATGTTAGAGATATAGATTAATAATAACATACATCGGTACAGTTTTACAATTTAACTTTACAAGACTTAATGCAATTATCACTCTAGGTCACTCTCCCATGTCGACGAATCTGTTTCGAATTCTGCGGTGTAAGTATATAATACGTTATATAAAAGTTCTTTAGAACTGTATACACAGAGCCGTTTTGATCTTGAACAGACTGCCCGTTATCTATTGACGTAGGTGATCCGGTACGTAGCTACTCGAAATATTTTCAGCCAACACTCCGTACGCCATTAACGCGTGAGAAAGTAGTCATTAATATCCCGAAGTAGACGATGAAATAATCTATCTTGAATTAGAATCTCACAAGATGATAATTATGTCTCTAGGAGAAGATCTATCAAGCTTCTAGTTTTCACAGTGCATTATTAATCGCAAACCCTGTACTTAAATTTAAAATCCGAGTTTAGTTATTTAATTTTACTGATTATGATATTTCTTACACATTGGACTTTAAGAGAAACAACTGTTTTATTTTAAAAACGCTATACAGTAAGAAAAAGTTGCAGTATGATATTTTCTTATCACTTGAGGAAGAACGAATTTGTGCATATGTACATTAAAACTTATAATTTACCCCATGTCATATTAGTAATCATGCAATAAGTAAAATATTTTATTACTTACATTTAAGCCTATCGATTCAGCCAAGAAATTCCGAGTATGTTCATCTTCATCTCTGTCGCTGTCTGTGTCCAGCAAAGCTTCAGTCGGTTCGTGGATGCTTCCTTCCTCAGTCGAGGTATCTTCTTCTTCTTCCTGTATTTCATCCTTCTTAACTGGAAGTGGACCTTCTGCTTGCTCTTGAGCGCGAGCTTTCTCTGCGAGCAGCGTGCCGAGATTTTCGAAAAAGCCGCCATCTGATTCTTGTATTCTAAAATGAAAATTTTTTCCAGATTAATAACGAGCTCAATAACTTCTTCAATTGTGGTTACTTATTATGAAATTTTATATCATTTAGGTATTTCTATAGAAGAACATTTTTTATGGTATTATAATATCTACATATGTGTATATTGGCGGTATTTGGCATTAAGATAACAAAATACTTTTGTCTAATATAACAAATTGTTAAAATATATTCTCGTGCGCATAACTAAAGTATATTCTAGTGCATACAATGATGTGTAATAAACATATTATACATTTAGAACGACAAATCTAGCATAATTCTATGTCACTAACATAGAAATCATATGAAATTCACACGTTGTATAAATAACTTAATAAACTTAAACATATATTACAGGGCTTTCAAACATTTTACTGATTTTATTGTTGTGTCTATTCAGAAATACAACACAACACTTGTCAGTATTCAAAGTAATTCAAAACGAGATAAATATGTGGATCAAGATTTGGGAAAGAACGAAAAGGAAATAATATGTGGGAAAATTTTTAGGAAATATGTTAGGATACGAGCACATACATCTGAATGTATACAAATTACTAAAAAGCATAGCTTATGGCTTCAAAAAAGCGCATAACATATTGCAACGCTATACTGTGCAGCGCAAGCTCTTCCATCAGTGCAAATCGCACACACATAAACCTTTCGTTTCACCTTTTGCTAATAAAGTTGTGCGCCGCAAATTTCCAATAGAATCTCGCGACGGTCACTTCTTTCACTTCTGGTTTTTGAGACATTCGAAAAGCGGCGATCGCATAGTAAGGGTGTTTCTCGTCCAATTGTTCAAAGTGCGCCATTTTCCTTTTCTTAGTCCTTTAGCAAAAACATAATACGCCTTCCAATGAAAATTTACGCAAGAAAACTCACATTACATTGTTAGACGAACAAATTCTCGGTTGTTACATTTAAACTTTATTTACTATTTGTCTTTGATAATTTCAGATTTGTTACTTTGAACTCGTATACTAGATATGATAAAATTAATTAAATGCATAAGTATGGTAGGAAAGGGCCAATGCGAGCCAACCGCAGTTATTCGAGCGAAATTTTCCAATGTGCAACTTCTTAATCAATTTATTAGTTACTCTTCAAACGTTTCGACGCATTTTCGGGTTATCCTCAGTGAGACTACAATAAAGAATGTTAATCTGTTACATAAATTAACAGATATATAAACTTAAAACAAAGATTGAATACTACCGATAGGAACATTAAGTATAATATCTATAAAGACAAAAAGTTCTACGCTTGAATATACATATAACTGTCATCGAGAGTTATCCTCTGACATGTTGACAGGATTCTCTTAATGGTGAACGCCATAAAGAGAGTGAAAAGTCAAAATTTACCACACTAAAAGAACAGAATGTGTGTCATAAAATGTACGTTAAGAAATTAAAAACTTTTGGACACTCACCCGAACCGAAAGAGACTCACGATGGACAGTAAACAACCGAATGATGACATTTTTGGTGAATATATGTACAAATGCTACACAGTAATCTTATATGTCATTATAGGACACGCAAATAAATCAGTGTTGTTTTAACTAGAAATAAGTTGGTAACTATAACGGCGCAGATTTTTAAATATCATCCAGATCGTTAATGATAAGATCATACGGGTTTAAAAGGTCCGTATCTGTTTGTAAGTTAAGCCTATTTCTCTGTCTTTTGATAAAAATCATTCTGGAAATCAGTCGTTTATATAAAAATGTTTCCCTATCCAAGACATCAACGTTGTCCCAATAATTAATTTTACAAATACATTTCATACTGTTTTAAAACTGACTTAGTTTGTTAATGCCACTGAAAGAAAGGGACATATTAAGATCCTGGAGTACACGGTTAAATTATTGAGAAAATTTAGGAATGTACGGTATATTGAAAAACTTTTTTCTATCAGTGTTATTTATACTATTGTTAGTGTGTGTAATACCCATTAACATTCTTTATTGTAGTCTCACTGAGGATGACCCGAAAATGGGTCGAAACGTTCGAAGATTAACTAATAAATTGATTAAGAAGTTCCACATTGGAAAATTTCGCTCGAATAACTGCGGTTGGCTCGCATTGGCCCTTTTTTCCCCACCATACTTATTTTTTATTGAGGGCCGTCACTACTCTTTGGATTAATGAAATATATTAATCTCTTTTATACTAAATATTATTATTATGTATATGATAGAAAGGTATAAAAATGTATAAATAATTGATTTAATACTGGTGTCAAGAACGTGATAAAAATAATATCATTACTTCTCTACTTGAATTAAAAATGAATTGTTATGATCAATATAATTTTACAAAATTAAAACTCAGATTAACAAATAAATCTTTCGCGGAAAATTTGGGAAGATGCTTTCTTTAAACACGTTCGCACTGTACAACGGCACTTTGACAAACTTCTGCAGAATATAATACCTCTTTTGATAAGACACAACGCGATGCACTGTGACAAATGTGAATATCACTTCCAAAGAACTATTCCATGCAATATATTATGCGAGGATTAACTATGGTAACTGAAACGACGTTTGTGCTCACATTTCAGTACGCTGTATTGTTTTCCTCAAGTCACTGAGTTATCTTCTAGATTCTAGAAACTATGTTCTTGTACCGCGACCTCGTACAGACTGAATATCACAACATTACGGCTTGGTCTTATAAATCGCAGACTTAATTACACAGCGTGTTTCCTGTTATGTAGAAGAAATCCCACATATACTGCGGGGAACTTGAAATTCCCATGCGCGTGAATGACGACTTACAGATTCCATGAAATTAAATCGGCTCGTTTAGGTTCATTAGATTTATCTGAACAGTTTCGGAAAAGTGCATTAGTCCATGTCTTACTGCAAACTGGGTAAGAATTCGAGTGGGAAACAGGTAGTATGTAGGCGACTAGTAAGTAGGAGGAAACAGGACATGAGTGGGATTTGTTTACACAAATAATTAGCAAAGGAATAATTAAACTAAGTTGTCTCCGGTGCTTTGAACGATGTTTATAATTAAAATTATGCGTATAATAATTAAGGACATAACATTTATACATATCAGCAGAAGATAATTATGATTCGTGAATCTACAATAATATTTAGATGCATGAAGCTACAGTATGCAATATTTTTCAGTTTATTTGAATTATCAAGTTTTAATATTTCGGTATTTCTTAAACATTTTTAAGTTTTTTTAGGTATCTACTAGGAAACTTTTAGCAACGCTTTATGGGATCATAAATTTAAGTAAATTACGTGTTACATCAGATAAGATAACATAATAATCGAGAGATAAGCATGAGTTAATTTATAACGCATGCGAAATGACTATTAAGTTTAAACTGATACCCAGAAACAGTTAATGCACTTATGTAAGAGAATAAAAGGCAAGAGGAAAACTTTCTATTCATTTCAGCTGATACATACTTAGCTGAATAATTTTGATCACGAGTACGTTCTTTTTATTTTACACAAAGCTTAAACGAGTAGAAAAATTAATAAAATTGATTAATCTTTGATTAATCGTTAATTGTAGACATGGAGAACAATTTGTCATCTAAATTTTGTAACTTGTAAATAATTCACAAAAATAAAGGGGGAAATACGTTCTCGAATTACAAAGCTAGAAGAGTAAGAAATAGATGTTTGTACACTTGCGTCACTGCTGCATTCCGTTTTTTTTTAGGCAATCCATTGCCTTCTGAGCCTCTTTTATTCTTAACTCAAGAACGAAATGATTCATGGTATCGCATGCCATTCGACTATTCTGCGGCCGATGGTGGTTTGAAAAATGTAGACTTATTTGATTTTATTTTCGTCTTCCTTGTCATCTACTTTTAATTTCTTACTGTATGATAATTTCAAAGACTAGGCAGTTCAGCTAAATTGTTTCTCTCAAATTAATAATCGATTTTGATATAAATCGATCTCGTATAGATCACAAACTGTTTTACACTTGTGGTACGAATTTATAGTCTATTTATAATATATATATATAAAATTGACAAAATAAATCTGTTATATGTTACATAAATATAAAATTTTTGTAGATATGTATTTAATAATTAATATATTTTATTATTATTTATTATATAAATATATTTTTGTTTATTCACTTTTATTACTTTGTTTAGGTTTGTTGATCGACTTGAAGTAGTGTTTTATATTGCAAGTTTATTCACTTAATAAGTATAGAATCTATTACGATGTATGCCGCTAGCAGAATATTCAATAAGCTGAATGACCTCGAAATATTGCTAGGCTGGAATGTTTGTGTTTTCAATTCATCCATATACAGAAGATATAAATATGTGACGTATGTTATCTTACCAATAAATGTAGTTATTATATTAGACTTCTTTGATTAATTTGTCAAATTCGATTTTGTTAAAAATGTTCAAGGAGTGTTTTGTGCTTTCAGTATTTCTCGTAAATATATAAAATTTCTAATTTTTAAGTTTACAAAGTGATGGTTTGGAAAGTTACAACAGTGCGATGTTACATAAAACGTAATACAATTAGTGTATACAAGATATTTTCAATGGAAAACAATTTTTGTTGCTTCAACCTCGCCAAAACCTCGAAGCACTTGTTAATCACTTCCGCAAACTTTAGCAACTATTTGATGTACAAGTTGACGGTATCACAACCGTGAAGGTCTCGGAGGTGATATAAGTAGAGAGTCCGAATTTAAGTTTTAATAATTCTCGCAAGCCATTCACCTAAAATAGTGATCTAAGGCGCCTTCCTCCACGTCAACTCGGGGAAACCATGGAATTTCCTCGAACTCGATGTGACGTGCACGGTATTTTTGCGACGCATATCACTGTTGTGAGTTGTGAAATGCCGTGGGAAATACATTAAAAATAGAAACAGATGCTCTATTATGCTTCTTAATGAGAGTGAATTATATGGAATAGAATTGACATTTCTACGAATATTTTCTCTTCTCTGTGATAATTAATGTTTTTCTTATAAAATTGTATTTTTGTTACGGCAAACTTATTTCATAACATGTGTTATATACTCGTATAATAGGTATGTACATTAAATACACACACAAAGAGATTTTTTTCTTAAAATTTATCCTAAAAATCCTGTAATCGTGGGACAACGTGGTATTTTGAAGAACTCTATGAGAGTTTTTTTGAAATTTTACCGTACATTCTACTAGTAAAATGTGTACTAACAAGAAGTATAATTACTAGTAGAATGTATGATAAAATTACAAACTCATACAGTTCTTCGAGATGCAATGTTGTCTCACGGTTATATAATTTTCAGGATAAACTTTAAGAAAGAATCCTCTCCGCGCATATACTTTATATACATATTCTTGTACTGGAATTAAAATCACACTAGTTTACAATAGATTGGATAGAAATAAAAATAAAAGAATTGATTATATATATAAATCTAAATGTATATTATATATATGGCATACACATTACAATTACAGTTAGTAGACTTATTGTTAGATTTAGATTTTATCAAAGCATTAAATGTATAATAATATATCTCAGCATTTCTACAGGAAACAGCAACCAAGCGCATTATTTGCATTCAGACGATCGGATTACACCTGATCAAATTCCTTCACAGATGGTCGATTTCATATACCTCACGTGACATAGTTAATTATCTCTTACAAAGACGTCAAGAGGTAGTTATGAATCATATAACATCGTGCCGACCTTGGGCACCAGATCTCGTGGAGAACGTCACATACATATATATAGACGCACCTATATGTTTTGCATGCACAGGTATAGAACTCAGGCCTGTCAGTTGCCACGTAGTCCCTCCTCCGGACTCTCCGTGTTAGTCTCATTCTATTAATAGATTCTGCGTGCACGCCCGGTTACAGACAATTTAATTTGAGGTTTTACCAATGGATTAAGAGCACGCATCTCGTTTATCGTGGAGCATTATCATTAATCATGAAGATTAGGAATATATGCGTGCAGAGCTCACTGTTATCGACACTCCGGTTTTGTGCCAAAAATAAGTCATACTTCATAGGTTCATCTGGCTTTTCTTGATGTTATCATCAACACAATGCTATTTCCGAATATTTTAATAACTTTCACGCAATCGGTAAAATTTTAGCTTTTTTTTTTAGTATTATAAATTTACTCTGTATTAGTATCTGTATTGTTGCAGCACGTTAAAAGTCAATTGTATTAATAATTTTTTAAACACCTTCTTTCTTCGTTCGAAGCGATTAATATTCCACCTCTACTTTAGTTATAATTGTACTATTACGAAATAATACGTTGAAATAATGTGTTCCATATACAAATATTATTTTATATGAATATACGTTATTTCAAGTTAGATATTATTATAAAGATAGACATTTTATTCTTATCATCCTTTTAATAATTTAAATACAGTTTTTTTCCGTCCAATAATTAATATAAAATTTTTTGTAAGAAATTTACAGTATCTTTTGCCAAAGCACGTAAGATACAGGAGTTAAATGTCAATATAAATAATGAAACGCAATTAAAATCCCTTTACCTTATCTCATGCTCCGATTTCTCTTGCTGCCCTTTCTCCTTTGCGAATTTCTCTTCTACGATCTTGTGATAGAAACTTTTCCACATAGTTTCTTCATCCATCTTTGCTGGATTTCTTCGGTCTCGCCCAATGAATCAGTACGCACTTATATGCGATATAGCAGTCTCCAAGAGCTTCACCGATATTTTAAGCATGCGATTATTAATTGTATCTTATGGTTGCGGAACTTGCGGAAAATCCCATGCGTATATTACTCGCGCACTCACAGAAACATTCCTTGCAAGATACTGACCTCGCGTGCGTAAGAAATTTAAGTGTGTTTCGCAACGGAAATATGCCGGCTGGAGTTAAAGCCGGTATAGGTGCGACTAGTAAGCGTTCCATTTATTCCTGAATGAAACATTCAACCATTCACTTGTACTTTTTGGTCTCCCGATAGATGGCACCTATTATCAAGTCGTAGAAAGCAGTCTCACTTCTCTTACCCGTCCCATGTATTTTACAAAGTGTTTTGTGTATTTAACAAATTTTATTTTTACGGTATTGTTGTGTCTAAAAATATTATTTATTTAAAAATACAAGTTCTTCTTTAAAAATAATAATACCACATAGAGAATTTATCTTTCATGTATGTTGAAAGAGTTATGTTTAAAATGAATTTATTTATAAATGTGTATAAATAAGTAATAATTATATTTACACATTTATACGAAATTTATACTAAATTATTTAACTTGGATCACATGTAAGTTTTACTAACGTCTTTTTATTTAACTGATTTTTGTGTGTGGTCTAGGAAAGTGACAAAGAATTATTTAAGCTATGGTTAACGTTAAAAAAATTATTTATTCATAGGAAGTTAGAATGTGAAAAATTAGAATTTATTACATGTTTATTTTTCTTGGCTAACGTTGAAATAAAAATTGAATAATTAGCGCACGGAAAAAATTCTCGCTCTCTTCAGTTAATCCGTGACTTGTCTTTCGTACTTGTAATATCAGGCTAATTAAATAATCATCCCAGACGGGTAGTTGTGTAAGTGACTCAACTTTCGTGGAGTTTATTCTGTCAATCTTGATGATGACATCATCTATTATGCAGGTGATCTCTTTGTAGGCATAAAATTAATACCGCAGAATCACTGATACAGAAATGTACACATTTTTTGCATCGTATACCACGTACAATGTGTTACATTTTCTGAACCAAAATTTATCGCGACAAGATAATCGATTTCAGTGAAAATATAATACGAATAAATGTGCATGAAAAATATTTTTCAACTGTTATTGATGAACACTGATATAACAGCATATTTAATCAACCAGTACACTTTATAAAAAGTAAAGGGAATTAACAAATATATGTAATGTCACTTTTGTCATTAGTAGCGCAATGATTACCTGAATTTTAGTTGTGCTTAAATTTTTTACTTTATTTTCTCGTAGACACTAGAAGACAATATTGCAAGCGCACTCCATTACTAATATTCTAGGCCAGTACCTGTACGGGGATTGATTCCTGGTAAAAGCTGCTACCCAGACTGACGTCGCGATCGTAGCAGTCCTTGAACGCAGGCGCCACGTTGCGTCGCCATTTCGCTTGGTACTATACATACATATACGTCACTGCGAATGCGTTGAAGCAAACATCAATAACGTTCCTGCAGTATTTTGATACGGAAATGGGAATGCTGGCTTCAATCTTTACATCGGCTATTAAATTTACTTTTACACAAAAGTTATAAATATTGGTTATTGTTCTGTAATCTTGAAAATAAATCTTGTGTTATCATTATCGTATTATGCTATATATGAAGTAACATTAACGTCTGTTCAGACGAAAGCATAAATTTTCCACTTTTATAACATACGCCAATATATATTGTAGCATACATATTCTCTATTATTCTTGGGATAAATTGCATGACGTACGCCTGAAAGAATCTATATGAAAGAGACTAAACTAGTTATCTGCAGACATAGCGCAAACATGCCTTGCAAATTGATTATATTGCTTCTATTCTTCGGTAATGTATACATATTACTTTATTGTTTCTTTTATATCAATACTAAATAAATCTATAAGTAATAATTAATATTATTTTTCTCAACTAGAAATTACTGTATTGTATGCGACGACAGGAAGTTTTTATCGTAATGAAACGTTTTCCACGATGACAGCATCCCGAAGAATTCAATCGGATGTTGCATCATTTGTTCTGATAAATCCAAAACAGGTCCAACATGCGGAAGTGATAATAAAACATTTCTTGGCGAGATTAACTGGACCGATCGCTCAGCCAATAACCTTGAGATTGTGGTCTCCCGATGGAGGTAATTTGCTAAGCACAATTAGTGCGATAAGCAATATTATACGTGCAAAAATTATGGAGTTCGCGCGAACCATCGGATTAACTGCATCAGTTCGTCAATATGAGCAGACATTGTGGAACTCCACAATTTCGAAAAGTTGGTTTACTGAAGGTCTAGCTCAAGGATCGCTGTTACTATGCGATCTGATCGGAATAGGAGAAGAGATTGGCTTTGCAGTCAATCATTACTTTAAAACGTATAATATGACCTTATTCGAAGATGAGGTAAGTTTGAAAGTGTCGTTAATAGATTGTTGCACTAGTATTTGGGATAACTATAGCTGAAAATGTGTGTAGTATAACATTTATGCTTCAAAATAAACTATTCAATTGTAGTATATCATCGAAAACGAATGTTTTTGGGCAGCCTATTTTTAAGTTGATTGTACATGAAAAATATTTCTAAATTATTAATTATTTCAGGACTTATCACCACGCCAGATAACGAAGAGTTTTAAGTTTTTCAATACTATAAACGATGCCGCTAGTTCTAGTAAAAAATTATTTGAATGCTTGATACCGGTAACAAATAAGTGGAAATCAACGTCATCTTTCAATTTGAATCGAGCTCTTACAAATTCAGCAAAAGATTCACCCGACAACGCTGTGAAATTATTTAAGTCCAATTTGAATCGAGCATTCGTTCATTCTGAACCAAGTAACGGCACAACCAGTGAGCAATTGTACATGTTGCTATGTCATTCAATTGTTGAAAGGGCCAGTCATTACAGCGATTGTATCAAAGAGTTACAACGTTTCGTAACTTGCATGTCATCATCGAGAGATCAAGACTCGCACGAAGGCCATCATAGATTTCTTGTCAAGCCATGGTTATCCGTTATTGAACTTCTAAGTGGATGTAAAGTTAATATCAATGAAGATGACAGCATTCGCTGTAAATTCTCTCGAAGGCTGCCAAAGACTACAACGCAGCAAGTGAAATATATTTATGAGAAAATTTTAGAACAACGGATACCCAAACGATCATCTCTTTATCGTGTTGCAAATGAACTCGGAAATGTTCTCTCCGGAAGTAGATGGGGAAGGCAACTCACGTATGACATATGTCAGTATTTTGCAATTTATCAGGAAGGCAACAGAAGATTGAATACGCTTTTGAAAAGTGCTGCTAAGGACAAGAGAGCGGCTATGAGGTTAATGATATTTTAATTATTTATGCAGTATTTATTAATTTTTATTATAGTACACGATAAAATTAGTCCTAGTTTTGTATTGTTAACATTAAAAATTTATAATAGATTGCGTTTTAACAAAACATAAATGATCCTTTTAGGTATAATAGGATGTTTGTATCATTGAATATGTATAAAAATGGAGTACTAAGAAACACAATGGTTGCTGTTGGAAACTTTCATCGTTCCGCGTTAGAGATTCAAAAATTTCTTATTCGCGGTATTAAAAGCTCTTTTGAAGAGTCATGGCAGAGTCATTTAAACATTCTTGCTTGCTTATCTGAATGGATGACAAAACTTTTGGAATTATTTGGATGTGCAAATAATACAGATGACGACACATCGAGTTCTACTAATATTTCGCCGCCTATAACAGATTCAGACAGTGCAAGTAATGAACTTGATGAAAATAATGAAAGGCGATATCTCACAATATATTCTAACAAAGTTCGTAAGTATTAATATTAATTATAACATTAATTATAATAATTTAACAAGTAATATATTTTTATTTTTTTTGGAATTTATTTTTATTAATTGATTCCAAAGAGGTTGGGATCAATAGTTCACGTGCAATAATAGAGCTGAATTTTGGAAATTAATTATAAGTATATTTCTGCAGAAATAAGGAAAAGAGCTGATATTACTTTCAAAAAACTAATGCGTTCACTAAATCACGTAAGTAAAATGCGAAGCCGAAATGACAAGAGTACTTTAGCCTGTCTCGCAAATAATTTACTATTGGTCACTATGTTTATGGAGACAATTGGTTTTGTTTCTACATTATTCTGTTTGGGAGAGCATAAAGATGAATCCAACGTCGAAGAATCGGCGGAAGAATAGGATTCACCTGGATGTGAACGTAGATCATTTTCAAAAGACTTTGAAACCGATATAATAAAAAATGATTTTAAGATGTTGTGAGCGATGAATTTATGATGTCAGCATTGTTAAAATCATTAAATACATATGTTAAAGTAGAAAACTTAATTATGGAATAATATAGTAAAATTACTTCTATAAAATTATTTCAAAATGAGTAACGTACCTGTATTGCATGTTTAATGCATAATGTGTAAAGAAACTTAATAAAAGTTTAAATAAAAGTTGTTAAAATTTTTCAAATTTTCTATTTACGTGTTTTACAAATTATATAATACATTTCTCATTAATTTTTTTAAATTAATTAAATGTAAATTTATACTTGTATATTAAACATATATTATTTAATAAGTATTTTTAAATAATTTGCAGAAATGTTTAACCGAATTGAAGTTACATTACAATATTATTGGATTTGTGTTAAAATGTAATCGCAATTTCATGTTCCTCGAGATAATAACTTTATGGATCTTTACAATAAATTTGCTGCTAATAAGTATTTGACTTCTAATAAGTCTTCAACTCATCGCGACAAGAAATGATAAATTTCAAATTATTACTTTGCTTGTGGTACTTACATAAATCACATTCAATCTTGGCACTGTTGTGATACGGTAATTGCGATAGTATCAACGCTTGTAGCTGTTAAACGTTCATGAAATATGTCGTGTGACATTTACAACCTTGGCAAAATAAATCGTCGCACTTTACATATGCTCGATCACATTGTATGATGACACAGTCAGCAAAAATGCGCGGAGCAATCATTGTTCTCTGTTTTGTTGGTATGAATAATTTACGTTATTAATTATTTACGTTATACATTACTAATATTAATTATAAGGCAGAGAAATATTTATTAATATCTTTAGCTATTAATGTATAAAATAAATATCTGAGTTATTATATACATATAATAATATTAGGTAATAATTAAATGGCTGTTTTTATTATTATTAATACAAGCCATGCCGTACGTATTATATACCGTTATCCATGTATATTTTAGGTTTTTTATTTCAAGAAACAGGCGGAAATGCAACATATATAGCGCAACCAAAAATTATTGGAGGACAACCAATTGACATAAAATATAGACCTTTCATGGTTAATAGTATTTTTTAATTATATGTTGATTTACAGACACGATTTATTTCTTTGCTAACATTTTTTTAAAAACCACAATACTTGCAGCTCTCCTTACACAATTCACATGGATTTTTATGCGGTGCTAGTATACTATCGAGGACATGGGCTATCACAGCTCTTCATTGTTTGTAATAAAAATTTACCATTACAATCTATTGTTATTAATTCTCTTAGTACATTATAATTAAATTGTCACTTTTTTATCAAACCTACAGATTGAGCACAGTAAGTTTATTCTGTTTCGTTTTAACGCGTCGTTCTTTTCCATTTTATTATTTTTTAGGGTCTCAGTATCATCGACACGATTTTATGTACGGGCTGGATCCAATAAAACGGATAGGGGCGGATCTGTGCATAGGGTGACGAACATTCACGTATACAACGACACATATCGCTCTTGGTTCTCGAGGTTGTTGCATCACGATATCGCAATTTTTCAAGTGAAACCACCATTTCAATTTTCGAGAACCGTCCGACCAGTTCGTTTACCAAGATCAACCCACGAAATATCTCGTGAACTATTAGTTTGTGGTTGGGGATACATAAATAACGAACAAGTGAGTAAGCTAAATTCGTCATACGCATAAAAATTTATGCAATTAGTATTCTTACTTTGAATACTTTTGCATATATTCTTATTACAACAAAATTCGAAACTTCAGCATTTCAAAGACGTGTATAGAATGTTTGTTAGATAAGAATTATTTATAGATATCCTTTGATATATTTCTTAGATTTTTCATCTATTCATCAATGCAGTGTTAATGAGTGAAAAAATAAAGAGCATACAATTGATTAAAATACTTTGTAGAAAGAGAATGCCGAAATTCTTATGGGCGTTTACGTTCAGCACGTTCCGTACGAAATTTGCGTTAATGCTACCACTTCATACGCAACACTCGTCAAAGATGACTATCATTTGTGTTACGGTACTCAAGGAAAAGATGCGTGCTTCGGAGACTCCGGAGGAGCACTGGCCGGTAAAAGAACAATTTACGGCATCGTATCTTTCGGACATGGTTGTGGAAAAGTGGCTGGAGTTTACGTCAAAGTTTCGTATTATGAAAAATGGATTAAAGCTGTTACAAACTTATGATCGAATATGCAATTATATAATTTAAATAACTTAATTATTCCTGATTACATTACTGATCACAGTCTTTACGTTTTTATCAATTTTTATAGCTCGCTACTAATTAGCTGTCAATAATAAATCTAAATAATAAAAAAAATTAAAATTTGATAAAAATATTGTTACTTGTAAAATACTGTGTAGACAAATTTAAAATTATTTAAAAAATGTAATAAACTGACACTTTATCACTTTATATATAGGATTCGTAGCTGCTCGACGATGTTTAGTAAAAAGTTATATGTTATTTTTCCTTCTTTTGCATTCTTGTTAAGGAATAAAACTGAGAAGATTATTCGACACATCGCGCCACAAAAACCCTAGCGTTCTTATCCGACAGGTTGAAAGCATTGTTTTCGAGAGAATAGACACAAAAGGCATATCGAATCACGGAGTCGTGAACCCTCCTGCGTTCAGGTTCGGTGCGTGCAGGAAATCTACCACATACACGCGCTACGCAAGAGTGTCGCGCACGCCTGCACGCGGCACACGTAGTGTTCGCTCGTGCAATGCTGAATAAAAGGTGTACGTGACCACGTAATGTACGCAATGAATATTTAGTTTTACGTGATAATGATATTTTTTAATGATATTGGCTATTTTTACATGTATAGTTGATTAAAAATTATGGAGCGGTGTAAAATTAAGTATGAAATATAGCACTTAGTAAATCTGTTCGAGTAGTACTATGTTACCATAGGTCTTTACAATGATTTGATGGTGAGTTGGTACATGAGTTTTGAAGAGAAAAACAAAAATCATTGTGCTCGGAAATGTTTGTAACACGCTTATACGTAGCGCGATTAGTAATAGAGATTCTATTTTGATATCATTCTATCATGTAAAATCATTTGATATTAATAATCGTAATATTAATATAAATCAGAGGAAGAACAGGATTCTCTTTTCGCATATTACAACATTCGAGAAAATTGAAGCATTAAAGAAAATAATGAAAGTAATATTCTTGTGTTTACAATAACATATACGCATTAAATGAATTTATTTTACATTTGCCTGGAATATATACCGTAAACGATAAAATTCGCGAGGAAAATGTAACACGTAGCCACGTATTCTCCTGCCATTTGCTGTTTACTCGACCATGCACGCGTGCTTGTTACTTTCAAGCTACTATTTAGGATGACTCATCCACGTGTTTCCCCGCTCGAAGCGAACCTATGTCAGGTTTTCTGCTCGCGCTTCTAAGGGTCTTTAAACTCCCCTGCCACGTGCAAACTATTGAGTGTCTCCGTAAAAACCGTGAGAAGTGCGTTATCGTAACAGAACATCCGTCACATTATTGGACGTGAATATGCAGACTGCTTTTGCATACGGATATTACGTTATCAATTCCGTTTGAGATATGGCTGTGATAGTCTAGAAATAGTCTAGAAATAAAATGTACCGCTAATTGATAACAGCAATAAAATATTAGTAGATTCATTTTCATAAAGTGTATTACATATACTAGTATGAAGGTATCGTATTAGATAATAATTGTGTATGTGTGTTGCGTGTATTTAAAATTAAATATTTTACATCCATTACATCTATTTCTAGTACGTATTATAGTAGTATCTTGAATTATAATAGTGTTTTATATATGATTACATCATGGCAGGAAACCATAATATAAATACCAGTGCTTTATCTTTAAAATTCATATTACATCCTGTTGAGTAAAAACTCTCATTTTATCATATAACAATGTGACCACTGTTATCTCAATATGACATAAATATTTATTTTTAGCAAACTGAAGGAATGTACTTAATTATTATAAACATTTTGTTGCTTCATATTAAATTATAATGAAATAACTTATAACTTTAGAGAGATAGGGATCGTTGATAGCTTTATTATTCGAAAGAAGAAGAAAAGATTACGTAAAAGACTTTTACTCACCCACTTGTCACTGCAGGATAAATTTTGTTACGGAAATTCTTCAAAAACTCGCGACGGATTTTTAGAAACCAAGCACTACTGCATCTGGGACTACAGTATTTTTTTACGGTACTGTTGGTTCGTATACTTTCGGTGATATCATCATGGCCCACGTATTCCCAATTATTATATTTCATTGCGATAGGCAGTTCTTCACATGCTATCATGACGTACGAGTCCTGCGAACACGTGCGGGAAGGATTCGACGTTCTTGCATCAACGTGCTGCTTTTGTCGCAGACAAACATTGTCCACGACATCTGATTCAAGATGCTGATCGGTCATAATTGATAAATTTCTATCAGTTAAATATTCTTCTTTACAGATAGCGGACGACTTTTCTGTCTTTTCAACATTTTTATTATCTTTCGCAGAATTTTGCAACAGACGCCTCATGCGATAAAGTTTTAACGTTATGGGGTTGTTCCACATGGCTAAACTCTTTACAGTCTACTTGTGAATTATTTAAAATATATTTTTCTGAGTTTTAAATTTATGAATTTCTTTTAAAAGACGAACTCGTATAATTTACACACATTGTATATACACATTCTTGCGCTGCTTTGATGTATTGCTCATGCAATAGATTTTATTTTAGTTATCACATTGTTTTATGATAATTTGCAACTGCGTAATATAATTACGATTTGTTAACTAGAAAGTCGTGCACCAACGTCGTTCATTTATACGCGACCCCTACGAAGGAAAAAGTGGCACTGAACACTCTCTATACTGCCAAGTACCCACGCACTCACTAACTGGGGATCCCAACTGATTGTGCACGCGTATGCGAAGAGAAGGGGTGTATGCGTTCACTCACGCCTACTTTCTACATCTTCTTTCTACATTAATTAACGTAAAACAACAAGAAATATTTTTTGCAAAAGTGTTTGTTGTTGTTATATACTTTTTGCATTGTATTTTTATCACGACTCATGAAATCAAAACTATACTTTACTTAAGTATCTTTTTTATATCAGTGTGTGAATATATTTATTATGTATTATTAAATTATTATATAGGTAATTCTATATTTTACATTTCTTATTTTATGTACAGAAATATTAAGAAATCTGTTATGAGTGATTGAGAGTTATTTCAGAACATATACAAAGATGCTTTATAATTAACATCTTGTAATTATTTTTTTTACATAATATGTATTATTAATTAATTAAGTGAAAAGTATTTATCCCTTTTACTAAGATAAAAATTAAATTAATTAAGCCTAATTATAAGGATGCATTTATATTATTATTAAACATTAATCTTAATGTCATGTCATTTTATTGAAAATAATGTCTTTATATTTCTTTAATTATTGTTTTTGTTAAGTCACATGTATATTTGCAATATTCATGTGTTAAAAATAGATTGTTGTGAATTCCCAAGAAATCATTGTAAATTCCCGTAAGAGATAAAAAATCCCGAAGCTAATGATATTGCAGTTTCCGGTTTAATGATACTTCTATCGCATCTTAATTATTCACACATGATTGATCATATAAACACAGACATAAAATTAAATAGGTACGACGGAATATGTTAATTTTAATACTTTCTCTATTTTACTTTGATATTTATTTTTTAATGTTGTATTTAATTCTTAGCTTTTTGCTATACACATACATACGCACACACACGCGAACATTATTTCTTAAACGTAAATAATTGATACTTGTAGATGTGTTGCATGTCAATAAAATATTACACTTTAGGTTATTACAATTTCTCCGTGATAAAAAGACATAATCCATGAAATAAAAATGAAATTATATGTGTAAATATATTATCTATAGATTCAGTGATTTGTCAATTATATATTGCTAAGTTTATATAATTGTTACACTCCGTTGTACTATGATACTAGCAGATGGGTTTAATTACGTGTTATTCTCGTTCAGGAATCTTGTGGGAATTATTGTATCATTTGAATATCATTTGAATATCAAGTGGCAACATTCTGTTAACTCGAATACCTACACATAGCTACTACTACCATTACTACTACATATACAATTTTTAAAATAAAACGTTTCGGTTTATTTTATGTTCTAAACATAAAGTTAATATGTACTCTTGAATAAATATTTAGTACATATTATTATACCATGAACTATTTCTTATGGTGTGGTTTGTGTCTATTAAATTAGTTAACACAACAACATATTTATATTGTGTAGTTATTGTTATCGCAATAATAACGATAAAATTGTTTATTAATTTTGAGTGATTAAATGTAATATCCATAGTAAAAATGCAAATTACCATTTGTTATGAATAAATCTTTTTGTCGAAGTGAATTGTTGCACACAATATACAGACAAATATTGTTGCCAGTCTATTTTATTTAATAAAAAAGACATAATAATGATATTGTTCTTTAAACAAAGGAATAAAACTTATTACAAGAGACTCAGAAATATTTCGAGGAAAATTAATATTAATTATGTTCATGGAACCACAAGTTAAATACAGGTTCACATCGTTGTTACGGAGAAGTTTAATTAACCTTACTTGACTCCGCAAAAGTCGGCCCACACATGTGACACACAATAATGTAGGAATCTAAATATTCAGTGCTAGTTTAGGAATTATTAGTTTTCCTAACGCGCAGTAAATAAAAGGAATTTAATTCAATTATTAACGGGATTTAATTTATTCTATTTCAATAATCAGGTATTAATTTGTAATCTAGTTTTTCAATTTTTTTAGATTGGTATAATAAAGAAATTTTGAGGTAGCACTTACTCGATGGTGGACAGAGCCAACAATTCTCGCATCGATTTGCCCGGCGTGGTTCGATGTCTTCTAACATAACTTCCTGTATGTCTTCTGAGAAAATCTTGTTCCTCGTTCTCTTCGGTACGTCTTCTAAGAAAATCTTGTTCCTCGTTCTCTTCGGTACGTCTTTTAACAAAATTTTGGTCC